CTAAAAAAGGAAAATCCAAGAAGATGGAAAATCAGGCTGTGGACAGCTGGCCACTATGGGGCTAGCCATCCCCCTGCTTGAAGTATTCCTAAGGATACTTAGGAATAGAAATTCCTAGGAATTTCCTAGTTCCTAAGGAAAATTGAGGAGAGGCTAGCAAATAAGAGGGAGTTCCAAGGAAGAGAGGGAAACTATGTTGGGTAGAGCACTGTGACTCACGGTAGTAATGAAGTCTGTCAATGTTGTTTCTTTCGGAAGTACAGATAGAAGGTTTGAATTGGAATTCACGTACCTGGCTAGCTCAAACATTAGGGACAAAGTTGGAAGTGAATCCAACCAAGGTAGTTCCATTCTGGGATTCACAAACAAGTTCACATAATGTGGGTGGTCCAATTAAGACTCCCTCTCAGATGTCACTCAAATAACATAGACAATTGCTGATTTAGCCCAGCTATCTGTCAAGGGAAAGCCTAGGTGCATACAACCATTTGTATATAGGTTTCCATGCTGAACCTGGGCATCACAAGAGCAATTATTTGCAGTAGGTGGATTATTTGTAGTGGGTATGTATTGAGCACTCAGGGTACCTAATACGTGATCAGAGTTTGTCTTACCATTGTATCCAGATGGCTTTGATGCTGCATATCAAAAAGTTGACTACAGTTTGGAAACTAAATCTGTATTCTACTTTTTCATCACCAGTTGTGTTCATTGTAGGGGTTTTTTTTTATTGATCATGTGCCATCAAGTCAGTGTCAGCTCTTAGCAACCACATAATAGATTTAATTGTCTATCATTTTATATTTTCTATCCTGTGTTTTTCTTGGTAAAAATACAGGAATGGTTTACCATTGCCTTCTCTTGTGCAATATTAATTGATGCTTTTGTCATTGTCACTAAAGTGATCATCTGCCTCCAGCATTTTCCTATATCACTGATGCCCAATATAGGTGCCTTCTTGCTTTAGCTGGGCATCTGGGATAACCTTCATGAAGGGAATATATACTTTTGGCATACACTCCCGGCATTCTTTGCTCATGTTCATCCCTCCCAAGATCATACACTTACCCTGCCACAATGAGGCATCACAGCAGGAGTGGGGGAGGGGGTTGTCAGTGTAGTTAATCACAGGAAAATTCAATCAAAAAATGAAATAAAATCAGTTAAGACAATAGTTCTATTAAGCAGTATTCTGTGCTTATCAATTCACATTTCTTTTGGACAAAACTGAGACGTTACATCAAGTCCAAAAGTTGTCTGATTAACACCATATTTGTTTGCAGGAAGAGGAACATCAACTATTGAATTAATTTGTCTTTCTTTAGAAAAGAGTTCCAAAATCTAGACGCAACCCCTGGAAAGATCCCTTTCAGGGTCCTCAGAAATGTACTGTACCAAGAATAGGACAGAAAAAGGGGAGGTTTTTTGGAGGTTCTTAAAATACAATCAGACTCATATCTGAGAATGAGCCTAGTTACATGCCTTGAAGAGTTTTAAAAGTCATAACCAGCATAACCAGCTGACTTGAACTGGTCCCCAAAACAAATTGTTTGTCATTGAAACTTGTAAAAAGGAAATTGCATTCTGAAAAGAGAAGTCCTCAAGAAAACTATTTTTAGTATGGCTATTCTTACATGTTCAAGCAGCAGAAATTAGTGTGAAGTCAGAAAATTCTTTTGGATGTTAATGTTGTTTTACAGTAGACATAATTTCTTTTTTCCCCACAACAGACTACATGACATAAAGACTTCAAAGTCATTGCCAATTAAGGAGTAAATGCAGTCCTGAATCTAAGATTTCTCTCATTTGAAGTTTTTTCAAGAAGAGGAAAAAAGCTTTTCTGGTACGTTCTATTTATTTTTAGTAGTGTGGATTTAGGATTAAATTTCTTGAGATTTCCTTTGGTATTTCAGATGTTAAAGGATAAGATCTCTTACAGATGTAAAAGTGAACCATATTTGAGCATTACAGGAAAAAAGAGCAGAGAGCCTAGCTCCAGTTTTCTCTTCAGCCTAGTCCTAAAGTAGATGCAGCCATTTCCTACTTTAAATTATTTAGATTCCTCATTACATTTGAAAATTGGGGAGGAAGATTCTAACAAATTTGGAGCAGAAAATAGAGACTTGGGATTTTCTCCTGGCTACAGCAGAGAAGAGAGGAAATAGGAAGGATATGAGACGATACTTGCTGCTTTCATTCACATAATGCTAAACTTGTTATAGTACTATAATTATATCAATGGCCATGCTGGTTTGAAGTCCACACATCTAGAAATTGCTAAGGTTGAGAAACAGTGTTCTAGTATTACACTTATATCAGGTCAAATACATTTGCATAAATTGTTCCATGCTCTTCACATAATGCAAATAAATATGCTCTACATATCCAGTAAAATGGCATCATGAAACAACTTAGTAATCACAATGAAAGGCAGAAAATAGGATATTAAAATAAAGATGAATGTTGGATCTCATATAAGCATTTCAGGCAGTGACTGGCAGAAAAATGTTCTCTGAAGGTCTGTCTACCAGATCATTATCCAGATAGATAAGCAGTATTTTCACCTTTGATACAGCAAAGAAGGTGCTAGAAACAGGATTAAGCCTCTGACAATGCTATAATCACCCAAATGTGAGATTGGGATTATCAGTGTACAATCTTGATCTCTCTAGTGTTAAAGCAACCTTGTGCACTTGAGCCAGCTTAGGTCTAACATTCAATCTCACAGAGGCATATCCCCACTGAATCCAGTGGGATTTATTTCCAACTTGTTTAAGATTGACCTAAAGTGATTTTAGAATCTGTTTACCCTGTAAGTGTTCTAGCAAAATAGTGTATTATTTTAAATTTTTGAGAAAATTTTTGAGAAGGTTTATAAATCTTTTTCTTTCTAGGTCTAGAATAAAATACTAGATTGATTGTCAATGAATTATACAAGGGATTATATATAGGTTATGACCTGCTTTATCTATATTCTCTGATCATTTAAAGCAGCTATCTCCAATCTGTCTAGCCTCTGGATGCATAGATTTCAACTCCCAGAATTCTTGGTGGTGTTTATGTTTGCTGGGGATTTCTAGAAGATGGCATCCATGCATCAGGGATGCCAAATTGGGGAAGGTTAATAGAAAATTTTGCATATAATAAGCATGCTGAATATATCCTCCAAAGGCCCTCAGAAAAAAAGAAATTGACAATAATTGCCTCAGAGCACATGGGTCACATGAGGACTATATGTGATTCTCAAAGACCTTCTGTGTACCCTACTGTGTGTGTTTTGACCTATAATGAGTTCCATCAACTGTCCCCATACTGGTGCCACAATTTAAAGGGAAATTATTGTACAGGAATAATTCTCTATTAAATCATTTTGATTTCCCACTTAAACCATGTCAGAAGTATGGAGAAAATGGCACATGAGGAGATACAACCCTGGGCAGCCCTGCATACAAACTTCATTACTGCAAATCATGTACTTGCTCCCCTCCTAGCATATGGCTCCAAATCATTACCCATTTTCATTTATGGCTTTTGCAACTAAAAAGGTTGTTTACATGTGTCTTAGTGTATACATTGAAGAGCAAGAATCTCAGTTCTCCTGACATATTTGGTTAGGTCTTGACTAAGTTGTACTCAGTTCTCAGTGATGCTTGTGACAAGCTATAACTAATTTTTTAAATATAGATTTCACTTATAACCCTGCATAACTTAGTTGATCCAACCCACTTAGCATGGGTGTATAATACTATTTGTGCCACTTTATTAAACTGGGCTTATTCCCTTTGTATTTAGAATTTAACATGGATTCAATATAAGCCTTTAAACATTTAACCAGTTTTACTTTCAATTCAGTCTTTATTTTTGTCAGGTTTTACAGAGGTGCAATGAAAAACTGAAACTGTTTTATTTGCTATCTGTTTAGTTAAATTATATAATTATTATATATGCAAATAGAATCAAAATGGACTTTTCCTCCTTGATTGTCCATTAGGCTGGTTGTACACTATACTACATTTTACACATATATCTACATATGCTATGTTAATTTAAGTTGATACAGTATGTTACACAGATGGTAATATATTAAACAAAATATATTAATACCATATTAGTGCTTTGGATATATTATTTTTTTAAAAGCTTTCTTTTACTTATTTTTATTCCATCTAAATTATTTTGTGAGTGTGAGTCTGTCTTTTTTGTCTTTCAGATAAACCTAATCATGGAGGGACTCTTGCATTATATAAATCCCGCACATGCTATTTCTCTTCTAAGTGCTTTAAATGAGCAACGTCTGAAAGGACAACTTTGTGATGTTGTTCTCATAGTAGGAGATCAAAAATTTCGAGCTCATAAAAATGTTCTAGCTGCCAGCAGTGAATACTTTCAATCTCTATTCACTAAAAAAGAAAATGAGTCTCAGTCAGTATTTCAACTTGATTTCTGTGAACCAGATACCTTTGACAATGTATTAAACTACATTTATTCATCATCTTTGTTTGTTGAGAAAAGCAGTCTTGCTGGTGTGCAAGAAGTAGGGTACAGTCTTGGAATTTCCTTTCTTACTAACATTGTATCTAGAAGTCCTCAAGTTCCTTTGCCTGCATGTCCAATTAAGAAAATATTGTTCCAAGAAGATGATGAAAGTGGCTCCCAGAAAAGAAGTGTAATTGTTTGCCAGAGCAAAAATGAAACACAAGGGGAAAATGTTGGTCAAACCTTACATGATATAAGCCATAGTTCTAATTTTTTGTCATCAGTTGGTATCAAAACTAAGTGGTCTCAACAATCAACTGAATTTCAACATAGCCTATCCCTAAATGAAAAGAGATGGTTGAAAGATAGTTCTTTAAGATACTCCAAGTCCCATGAATCATCAGTTACAGTGGATGATCAAAGTAGAATGAAAAGAAATGCAATATTGTCACAGAAACCTTTTGCAGAGAAGGAACTGGTAGCTGATGAACTAGGAGAAAGTGATCAACTATTAAGAGGAAAGACAGAAGAAATGCCCTTGAAACAATCTTGCCCACAAGTTGAATCCATATGCAGTTCATCAGAATCCACATTTTTGTTGAATGAAAGAGAAAAAGGAACTAGTCCAGGTGAAGACAGGAATTTGCTATACTATTCAAAGTTAGGATTAGTAATCCCATCTAGGATAGCTGGTTCTGAAAGCCAAAGTACTGACAGGAGTGGACCACTTGTAAAAAGTCTTCTTCGAAGGTCATTGTCAATGGATAGCCAAGTTCCTATTTCTTCATCTTCTATTGACTTAAAGCTTTCCCAAGGATCTTCAGTGGGGAACAGTGCACAAGGAATAATGTTAAATGTAATATCACAAAAGTCACCCATGAAAGATACTTCAGAAATAGCAGCTTCTGATGATAAGACACAGATAATGCATCCACATCGTCTTAGATCCTTCAGTGCTTCTCAATCAACAGACAGGAATATAAGTTCTCAAGAAGTACAGATTAAAACTGAACCTAGCAGTCCACTTTCAGATCCATCTGAAATTATAAGAATTACAGTGGGAGATACTTTATCATCTGTCAACAAAAGTGATTCCTTTAAAACTGAGGATGACCACAGGGAACTCAGTAACTCTTTTAAAGCAGAAGATGACCATAGGGAGCTCAATAGACTTCCAGCTAAAAGAAGATTTCAAGCAGACAGAAGGCTACCACTCAAAAAAATTAAGGTAGACCAACATGTTTCCCCTGAGTCAGAGGACAATTTTGAAGAAAATTTGAATCCTGTACCCTTTGCTGATTTCCCAGATTCTGATGTTAGTAGAGATGATTGTGGTGAATTGGAGGAAACAAAGCCTAACAAAAAGTTTAAGTGCAAACACTGTCTTAAGATTTTCAGGTCAACAGCAGGCCTACATCGTCATGTCAATATGTACCATAACCCAGAGAAACCATATGCTTGTGATATTTGTCATAAGAGATTTCACACAAACTTCAAAGTTTGGACCCACTGCCAGACACAGCATGGAATTGTAAAGAACCCCTCACCCGCTTCCAGTTCACATGCTGTCTTAGATGAAAAATTTCAGAGGAAATTAATTGACATTGTAAGAGAACGGGAGATTAAAAAGGCTTTGATTGTTAAACTAAGACGTGGCAAACCAGGGTTTCAGGGACAAGCTAGTTCACAAGCACAACAAGTCATCAAAAGGAATCTGAGGTCAAGAAATAGAGGAGCTTACATTTGTACCTACTGTGGGAAAGCATATCGCTTCTTATCACAGTTTAAACAGCATATAAAAATGCACCCAGGGGAAAAACCAGTTGGAGGAAATAAAACTCTTAAACCAAAAGAAGATAGTCGTATTGAAAACCCAGTGGAAAACAAAAAGGTTTATCAATGTCGTATTTGTAATGCTAAACTTTCCTCTCTTACTGAACAAGGAAATCATGAGCGGCTCTGCCGAAAAGCAACAGTTTGTGCTTACTGCAGTCTTCTGTTTTCTTCTCCAGAACTGAAGCATGACCATGAAATCACATGCGAATACAAGAAGCTCACTTGCTTGGAGTGTATGCGCACTTTTAAATCCTCCTTCAGTATTTGGCGTCATCAAGTTGAAGTTCACAATCAAAATACTATGGCTCCAACAGAGAATTTTTCTTTACCAGTTCTGGAACACAATGGTGAAGTAAGTAATGCTTCAAGATCACATTATCAAGCAGAGCCTAACAAAATGAGCAGCTTTGTTGCAGCTAAAGAAGATGGTGTATTTAGTGATTCCTCAGAGCAAATTAATTTTGATTCAGAAGATTCCTCATGCCTCCCTGAAGATCTTAGTGTTTCTAAACAGCTGAAAGTTCAAATCAAAGAAGAACCTGTGGATGATGTAGAAGAGGAGATCTCTGAAAGCAGTCGGGAACCAAAGGAAAGCATTGCTAATAAGGAGACAGGTTTGTGGCCCTGTGAAAAGTGTGGGAAAATTTTCACCATACACAAGCAACTAGAGCGTCATCAAGAGCTTTTATGCTCAGTGAAACCCTTCATTTGCCATGTGTGTAACAAGGCTTTCCGAACCAATTTCCGTCTGTGGAGTCATTTCCAGTCCCATATGGCACAAGCTTCAGAGGAACCTTTGCGAAAAGAATCTGAGATGTGCTCTTCTGCTAACTCTCCCTCACCACCACCTTTGCCTCCACCCCCTCCACTTCCCAAAATACAGCCCTTGGAACCTGATAGTCCTACAAGCCTGTCGGAAACCCCTTCAGGTAGTGAGAAATTATTTGTTCCACAGAAGTCTGACACACTTTTTTATCATGCTCCACCACTGTCAGCTATCACATTCAAAAGACAGTATATGTGCAAACTTTGCCACAGGACATTCAAAACCGCATTTAGTCTTTGGAGCCATGAACAGACACACAATTAAAGAAACGTTTAAGAGTGCCTACAGAAAGTTTCAAAAATCTGTTTAATTTCTCTGATGTTTCTGAAATTGCATCATTGAAAGTAGATTATATATATTATATAATATATGGCATACACATGCAAAGGGTCAAGAACCCTCAAAATTAAACTTGAAATTTGTGATGCTGTGTTTTGGATATAGAAATGAAGGTAAACTAAATTTATCCTTACTAGAGAAAATTGCTCAAACTTTTTGATATTGTCGTTTCAGATTTCCTAGTTATAGAATAATTGCATTCATTAAATCTGAGTATATATTTCTCATGATGTTATGCTGGTAAACATGGATTCATGTAAGAAGAAGAATCAATGACTGAAACATTCAGAGTGCAGGAAAACTTCCAACTAGTTGTTTATACAGAGAATAACTCATGAGCTCCATATATTAGTCATTCATTTGATGTTAAGGGAAGAAGTGGATTGAGTGCTTTGCTGTGTTGGCCTTGATCCTGTTGAACGTTAGCAATAACAAATAAAACCTCAATTGAATTAACTTGACCCTTATTGAAAAACATTGCTTATCTTGGAATTATTTCATTACTGGAATTTTCTGAATAGATATTGTACAAGATATAATTGAAGATTAGCAATATGTGAGTATTTGGATTTTTATACATATACAGTAGGTGCCAGCTTTCCTTTGGCTACTTTAAAAACGATTTTGAGTGTTGGAACAAAGATACAGTGCTTATTTGATCCTCAGAGGCTCATAGCCTTACATTTTAATACACAGAATTAATGTAAGAAGCAGCAGCAAGCTGATATTCCAATACAAACTGTTTAGTTTTTGAATGAAATAACATTTAATGGATATCAGAATTTAAGTTCTGCTTTGCTTCTGATCCGTATTGGTGCTTATGTTTCATTATAGTGGAATGTATGAATATGAACATTTTAAAAATGAAAAAATTCATTTTCATTAGTGGGTAGTAGTGAGCCTGACCAAGACTGCAAAAACGTTTTTGGTTTTTTTAATATAACGTTATTAAAGATTTTTAAAAAGAAAATAAAAACTAATACAAACTAATATAAAGTAAGAAAAGAAAGAGAAAGCAATCAAAGAGAAAGCTAAAAGTGCAAGAAAGGAAAAAAATAAAGGAAGAATAGGAAAGAAAGAAAAAAGATACAAAGAAGTAGCTTCCGATTTTCTTTACAGCAGTTATAAGTATAATTATAAGCTTACCTCTTGCTCTATGGTTACAACATACCTGTCTTCTCTCTATAATCTATTCTGTTTAATCATCAAAACCATAAATCGTAAGTTCATTTTTTTCTATTTCATGCAAAAAGTCTGTAAGGGGTTTCCAGTCAGCAAGCTGCAAAAAAACATTTTTGGAAAAAAGGTCAAATGTAAATAATTATATATGTATAAATGAAAAATGAATAGAAAACTTATATTAACTATGCTTAGTTGAAAGTGCAGGGGAAAATGCAACACCAAAAAAAATGTATTTCATAAATGCAAAATCCACAATGAACTGAATGTTTCTATCCAGTATCATATTTTGGACATCTTTTTGTTTTGTTCCTTTAAGAGACATTAAAATATTGAGCCATAATCCAGTGCAAATTTAAGCCCACTGATTTCCCTTGGCCAAAATGCCTAAGTGTACATTCAGTTGTAGTTAAAATAGTGTTTCCAAATGTGGTGTTCTTCAACTCTCATGATTCCCCAGCAATCATGGCCAATGCATCCAGAGGATCAGGTTGAACTAAATCATGGTTTGTGTTAGGAATGTTTCAAGCAGTTCATTTTAATGCATGTTTTGTTTATTTATACACATATACATTCACCATAGACAGCTGCAGAATCTGTAATACAACTTTTCCAAATATCCACGTGTATTCATCATTTGTAATGCAGCATCTCCGGCACACATAAGGGTTCTTGTTCATTGATTTCTTCTCTTGATAAAACACAACCATTGTAGTAGACAAGCTTCATGTATCAGTAGTTTTACAGTTGAAATGGACTGATACAGTGGGATGATGAGTTGTGGCATGCTTTTATCCATATATGACAATAGAATAATTAATATGGAAGTCTGCCAAGCAGTTGGAGTTTTATTTCCTGCTCAGGAATTCACATTTAAAACTGGCTTATTTTAAGCTTGATCTAACGAGCGTATATTAGAATGAATGATAAGAATGTAAAATGCTGTAGATGTATCAATTAGCATTTTGGATTGTGGTATAAGAAAATGTTTTTTAAGCTAGAGTAATTGCAAGATTCATGCTATTTAAAAACATGAAGCTTGTTGAGTTTCTGGAGGACAAAAAAGAACGGGACACTAATACTAGAATCTTATCAATTTGAAATATGAATTGTCAATAAAATGTCATTTTCAGTCATGTCAAGCAACTTAACATTCTGATATTTTTAAGTTAAAAATAAGATCTGTAAAATAATATTTATGATCTAGTAAGTGTCATATAATGTTTACTGGATTTTTTAAAATTTATTTTCCAAAGAACAGCACTGTAGTCTGCTGATCAAAAGCTGCTTTAGAAAATCTGGGTTGTTGAAAACCACTTTTTGATCAGCCATGTAAACTCTTGAAAATTCATCATTAGTCCATGATCCAAATATTAGTAAACAATGTGAGAGAGGCATGAAATGGGTTTCATGTAAGGCACTACCGAGCTTTAATGGAAAGAGTGAGACCTGTTGAGAATCAAGGACATGGCAAGCAACTTTGTTATTTATTGAAATGCCCTCTTATCAACAAAACTTATTTTAGCAAGTCCAAGGCTTACTGGGGAGTGAATGTGGCCAAGACACTAGCAACTGTATAGCAAACATTGAAGCGCTTGCCTCCAGCTTCTGGTCAGATCACACTTTATTGTGGGAGCCATAGGATATTTCTGGGCATCAACAGCTGCTTGGAGCAGCTACTACAATACCACTATTGACATCCTGTGCCTGGGCTTTATTGAGGATCACCTGTTTATGCCGATGATTGAGAAGTCTAGTTATGTTTGCATACGTTATCCATAGTTAAATGAACCACAGTTTACTCAACCTAGTTCCTGAGTTACCAAGACCATATAGCTGAATTCTCACACCACACTAGGCTACAATGTGATTAGTTAGTGAGTGGTTCAGAGAAAGGCACTTGCAAAACACTTACATGCCATTGCAAGAAAGCTATATACTGTAGTTATAGCCATGTAGTTGCCAAGTTCAACTCAAGATCATTACTTTCCAGTGAATAGTACAGTGTGTTGTGAGAACAAAGCTTTTGTGGATCCTACCTCTAATGTGATGGACAAATAACTTTTCTCAACCAAAGGCCATTCTTGACCTTTGAGTGGCATGATGGAGGCTATATTCCAAGAAGTAGTACTGGGGCCTGGACAAAAACTAGAGTTGATTGATTTATATTTAATTATATTAAATGTAGTGAAATTATTACTATCCAGTCATTTATTTTAAACATTTTCATACAAATCTTCTTCTTTTTGCCCTGCTGTCAGATAAAGAATTACAATTTGGCGAAAGTATTTGAATACAGTAATCTTTGGGGTCTGCAGACAAGGTTTTCAGGGGCTTCTTATGATGTGGGGCCTCAAGTTGTATGCCTATGATTTAGAAGTTTAATAAGGCTCTTTATAGTTCAGTTCCATAAAGGTTTATTCAGAAGCAATTTTTACATTATTAAAGAAATTCAGAACTAAGTATGGTCAGAGTTAGCATGCTTTTGTATTGCCTTTTTTTTTTTTAAAAAAGGAAACATCTGACTTCAAAGACCTCATGCTATAAGGAAAAAGCAATAACTTAGCAGAATAGTTTACAAATAAAATATATTTTCATTCCCAAACTATACTTAAGCAGGTATTTTATTCTTGTTTTGAAAATATAAATGAATGTATAAAAGGCTGGTACCTTTAGAACAGAGTCTTTGAACAATTACAGCTTATTGTATCTAATTCTGCAAGACACGGCAGCTAAAACTAATAGTTAATGTTTCCATTTAACTTAAGTGTAAATGAATTCTTGATAAAAAAAACCAATTTACATTCTTCTGCTTGTTTAAACTGAATGGAACCATTGCTATTTTTAATGCAAAACCTTGCATACCTAAAAGGCTCTCTAGAATCTTTCCTCAGTTCCGCATTTCAACTCATCCTGTGATAGCACCTGCATGGAAAACTTGTGAACCAGATAGTCCAGGGAGAAGCTCTTTCCATCTATTGCATTAAAACAAATCTATGCTGCCTTTGCCTCTTTCCCTTTGGAGTTAGATTTTAACAGATTTTTCAGAAGGCAGTCCCTGGGTTAAGAGTGAGTTCTGTTCCTAAGTCTATCTTTAACTCAAATTTGTATGTAAATTGGAACTTGTACTTACAAACAGGCTGCCTATTAGTAAAAATGGCAAACAGCATTCTCCTTCCTTGAGCTGAAGGACCGCTGAAGCCGCACACATTTTCATGAACTGCCAAAAACAGGGTGTATATTAAAAATGTGTGGCTTCAATGGTTTGTCAGCTCGAGGAAGGTGAACACCATCCACCATTTTTACTAATAGGCAGCCCATTTGTAACTATGAGGTGTCCATAAGTCAGACATTCTTAACCCTGGGACTGTGCTATGTGCTTGAAAGCAGCTTTTGCTACTCCTATATAGGGAGAATGTGTGAACCAGCTCTGATGATTTCTCACTGGTCTGTGCACACGTTTTTCTCATCATTCCCATTAAGACACCGCTTACATTGTTGATTTCATTTATTCAAAATGGGTGCAGCACTTCTGAACCTTATTAAGGACACTAACAGAATTTAGGTTGACTTTTATAAATTGGCGCTCCCATTCTTTTTAACCAGTTAACTATATTTTATTTTAGTATGGCTTCTGTTAGAAAAGCTTCAACGATTGAATCTCTGTCTATAAATTATGCCAGAACATGTCCCTCCCTCACAGTGAAAGATGTGTTTCTAGCAGGATGGCTTACACCTAGACATTTTAACAGGACCAGTGACATAGACTTGTTTAGGATACAGTAAAAGAGGAAACAACAGATACTAGATTTTAAAAACCATGCTATGTCTTTTAAGAAACAGCTTTTCTCTTACATCATCAACAGAGGAATTTCTACTGTAAATATTTTCCTCTAGCAGTAAAGTTGGGGTGTTTGTGTATGTGCTTCTCTCAAATGAATTATTGTTTCTTATTGAGTGGGGAACTGTTCTCAAAGATTTCCCCCCTAAGTATTTAAACAGCAGTTTCCCTCATCAATATTTTTTTAATCCTGAGACTGTATATTTTGGTGGGCATGAAATAAACTTCCATTTAATGAATAATATATGTTTTAAAATTACAATAAATTGATAAACTATGAAAGCTCTTCTATCTAAATGTTATTTAAGAAATATATTTTGTTTGTGATGAAAGAAAATTCAACTTTAATTTGCAACAGTATAATGAAAATTTTGCCATTGTACAAAGAATAAGGGCATTCCTTTATTGCTCAGATCTATATTTTATCAAATATAGTCCATACATTCTCAAGAACTCAATAATTTAGGGCTTAACATGAGATTAACATCCAGAATTAAAAATATTACTGTTATGGTACGTATATTAAGATACATATCACAATTACTATTTTAGTTGTAACATGAATAAAATCTAGTAATTGATGTTACAAATTCATACCATATTAACAAAAATGACACTTGAAATTAAAGTTCATTAAATAACTGGAATTCTACCCTAGCAAGGTTTTATCAGTGTCTATGTATGAACATAAGTTCCTAAAAATCAATACAACTTAAATGTTTATTTAAAACAAGTGCTATGCTAAACCCTGTTTGTAAATTAATCTTTCTAAAAAGGTATGAAATAAATAGAAAATTCTAAAAGGAATAATTCTTTTTAAAGCTGTATACCTAAATAGCAAACAGATATAAAAGTTGTAGCATTTTTTAAAAACGTGGTTTTGCTTTTATAAAGTGGAATGAATAAATGTAGTCCAAGAGGTTCAGAAACATGGCC